ATGGGGCTCGATCCCACAACCCTGAGATCATGACCTGAGCCGAAGGCAGAGGCCTTAACCCACTGAGCCACCCAGGTGCCCCAGTACTATTTAATTTTATTAATTTCTTTTTTCTGGTAGGCTCTATGCCCAACATGGGGATCGAACTCACCAACCTGAGATGAAGAGTCACGTGTTCTACAGATTGAGCCAGCCGGGCACACCAAATTTTATTAACTTTTTTAAATTTTATTTTTATTAGTAAACTGCACAAGTCAGGTGTGCAGCTCAGTTTTCACATATTATGCAATCATATAACCATAATCCCAATGGAAGTTTTTTGTCTTCTGTCAGCACAGATTAATTTTACTTATCCTAAACATATGTTCCTATGAGGCTACGTTTACTCAACATAATATTTCTTTTATTCATTGGAGAGAGAAAGAGAAAGTGAGCATGAATGGGAGGGAGAAGGGCAGAGGGAGAGGGAGAAGCAGAGTGCCCGCTGGGCAGGGAGCCCAATGTAGGTCTGAATCCCAGGGCCTGAGCCGAAGGCAGGCACTTAACTGACTGAGTCACCCAGGCTCCTCTCAACATAATATTTAAAAAAAATTTTTTTTAGTAATCTCTACACCCAATCTGGAGCTTGAAGTCACCACCCCAATATCAAGAATCACATGCTTTACCAACTAAGCCAACCATGTGCCCCAACATAATATTTTTAACATTCATTCACATTATTCATCTATCAGTAGCTTCTTTTTATTTCTGAGTAGTATACATTGTAGGAACATAACACTATTTGATTCTCTGTTCTCCTATTGATGAACATGTGGGTTTTTCCAGTTTGGGCCTATTATGAATAGAGGTGCTGTGGACTTATATTTTCATATCTCTTAGGTAAATGCCTAGAAGTGAGATTGCTGGGACATAATGCAGGCATTATTTAACTTCATTAAAAATTCCCAGTTGTTCAAACTAGCATACCATTTTACATTCACACTAGCCGTGAATAAGAGTTCTGGTTGCTTCATATAATCACCAGCACTTGGTGCTGTCCGCCATTTTAATTTAATTTAATTTTTTTTTGAAAAGATTTTATTTACCCATTTGACAGAGATCACAAGTAGGCAGAGAGGCAGGCAGAGAGAGAAAGGAGGAAGCAGCCTCCCTGCTGAGCAGAGAGCCCAATGTGGGACTCGATCCCAGGACCCTGGGATCATGACTCAAGCTGAAGGCAGAGGCTTTAACCCACTGAGCCACCCAGGCGCCCCATCAGTCATTTTAATTTTAGCCATTGTAATGGATATGTAGTGGTTTTAATGTCTTATTGTGATTTTAATGTTATATTTCCTTGTATGATATTGAGTACTTTTTCATGTGTTTTTTATGACCATTCAAATATTTTCTTTTGTAAAGTATGTGCTCACATCTTCTGCCTACTTATGTTAGTTTGCCTTCTTATGATTGAGTTGTGAGTGTTCTTTACATATTCTACATACCTGTTATCAGAAATACGTATTCTAAATATTTTCCAGTCTGTAGCTTCTCTTTTCACTTTCTTAAAGGTGTTTTTTATTGAGCAGAAGATTTAAATCTTGATGAAGTCAAATTTAGCAATTTTATCTGTTATCATTAGTGCCTTTTGAGAAATCTTTCCTTTGGTCATGCTATTTTACTTTTAAACTACCTATGTCTATAACTTTCTTTTTTATTTATTTATTTTTTCAAATATTTTATTTATTTATTTGACAGATAGAGATCACAAGCAGGCTAGAGGCAGGCAGGCAGAGAGAGAGGAGGAAGCAGTCTCCCCTCCCCCCGAGCAGAGAGCCTGATGCTGGGCTGGATCCCAGGACCCTGGGATCATGACCTGAGCCAAAGGCAGAGGCTTTAACCCCTGAGCCACCCAGGTGCCCCTATAATTTTGTTTTTTAAAAAAATTATTTTTTTAATGAAAAAAAAAGAAACTGAGGGCAGATTTCTAATCTGTTGCCAGCTACGTCCAGTTACCATCCCGTCTGGGAAGCAAGAGCTATAAAATAAGGAGCAAAAATAAGTGTTTTGAGGGAGTCTAGAAACACTGTAACTTCTCGGTGTTTAGTGTTATTTGTTTCATTGTAATGATTGGATTTAAAAACCTAAAAACAGATCAAAACTACTGAGATTTGGTCCTGATGGGTGGACAAAATATTTTCGAGTTTGGGTTAGGAACTAGATAGAAACACTATTGATGTGAAAATGTTGGGGTTTGGGAATGAAGAGAGTCAATAAAGAATTCTTGAAATGTCTTTGGTCATGAGGTCATAGGGTCCTGAGGAGTGACCCATTATATACTTTCAAGTTGGAAGGGGGTTAGGGAGAGCGTAAGTCTCTAAGGAATTTTGTTTTGTTTTGTTTTGTTTTTTAAGATTTTATTTATTTATTGGAGGGGCGGCTAGGTGGCTCAGTCATTAAGCATCTGCCTTCAGCTCAGGTCATGATCCCGGGGTCCTGGGATAGAGCCCCACTTCCGGCTCCCTCCTCAGTGGAAAACCTGCTTCTACCTCTCTCATTCCCCCTGCTTGTGTTCCCTCTCTCACTGTCTCTGTCAAATAAATAAAATTTTTTTTTTTAAAAAATCTTTTAAAAAAAAGATTTTAAAAATCTTTAAAAAAAATTTTTTTTTTTGAGCAAGGTAGATTTTTTTTTATTGAATCTAGTAACTCACTCTTCCGAACTTAAATGTATTACATCGTATGGGAGTACAATGACTTCAAAAGGCAAGTCAAATGCACTTAACTGCAAAGTAATTGTTTTTTTTTTAATTTTATTTTTTTAAACATATAATATCTTTTTATCCCCAGGGGTACAGGTCTGTGAATCGCCAGGTTTACACACTTCACAGCACTCACCAA